TATATATATACTATATACTTAATTGGAGGCAATTAATTGTATAATAATTAATTGCATTTACGAGCTTGTTAAATATTAATAAATGCGTTTCCTGCAGTCTTTCAATAATAATTGCCCGCAATGTGTATTAATATCTCCAATAAAATGATATCGAATGTCTTGCAAAAATTTAATAATAATTCGGTTTCGAAAATTAAACAATTTATTTATTGAAATAATATTTGATTTATATATTTAAATTTAAAATATGATGAATATTCTCTGAAAACAGAATCAATGAGTGCCCAGTATTGTCAATGTAATCGAAGAATTTTAAGTCTTTATTTCTGAAATTTTTTACAGAATGTAGAGACATGTTTTACTAATCCTCTGATCAACGTTGGAAAGAATATAAGTACTGTTCTTTTCAGCTGAACTTCTTGCACTCTTCAATCTTTTTGCATCGTTCATCTTTTCTCTTTTTCTCTCCGCATTGAAGAAAAAAAAGAGACGAGATGAGTGATGCAAGAAGTCTAAACAGAATAAGTTTATCCTTTCCAAAGTAGCGTTTACATAAGATGTGAATAATATACACAATAGATTGTCTAAATTAAAAAAAAAACAAAAAAGAAAAATGTAGGCCGGATGAAAGTCAAAATTCGTGATAATTGGAGTGCAAATTAATTATTTAATGTATTTTTTTTAATAAGTACAAAAGCCAAATGTTTCGGTTTTTTTCCGAGCTATCTTCGGTGAACTAAAATATAATTGTAAGTATTATTTTTTAAGCTGCAAGTGGGAAAATAATGGGTGCCTTCCATTTAGTGACATAAGTCGACAATTACTTATGAAATGCAAAGAAAGATAGAACGATATTTAGTAGATTTATGTTACTAAATGGAAAGCACCCATTTAGTGACAATATAAGTCAACACAAATATAGGCTCATGCAGGCAATTGCAAGGCCAAGTGGCTTGTGGACCCAAAAGGAATCGAGAACCACAATAAAATCTGTAATCATGTAGTTGAAATTAATAAATTAATAAAATATAAAAAAATAAGAGGCTTATTTTTAGATACAACGAATAAAATAAAGACTAACAGGTGCGAATTGTACAAAAGTCTGAGTTTACATAAAAGTCGCGACGAACGAAAGCAAAAGTGCTTCCCCAACGTTCAAAGCTCTTGTAAAGGGTTGAAGGTAGCGGCATGGCAAGCCGGTGCGGCGCTGCAGTATCGACGCTCGATATCATTCGGGTTCGTTCTCGCGCCGTCGCGGCGGACGCTCTGATTGGTCCACGCGATCGGACGGCGGCGCTCGCGTCGTCGCGACCGACAGCTGCGATTGGCGCCCGTATGAAGTTTTTCTCCTTCTCGCTCTTTCTTTCTCGCTCTCCCCCTCGCGCCCGCGCGGCAGCTGCGTCAGGCGTGGTCGTCGCAGTTCATCCGAGTCGGGCGCGGTGATAGTTTCGCGCGTCTGTCGTGGTTCATCTCGAGAACGCGGTAGTGTGGAACTGTGGCGTCTCGCTTCGTGCACGGTGGATAGGTATACCCGCGTTTACTCGGCGCTCTTTTCCTTCTCTCTCTCTCTCTCTCTTCTCTTTCATTTCCGCGCGACGAACCGCACGTGAAATGAGAGTGAAAACGCCGCTGCACTCGGCCGGCTCGCCAACGGTGTGAATCATCGACAACGCCGGCTTCTCGGGTCTCGAGGGGCCCACGCAGTGCGACGCGTCCCCCTTTTCCTTCTCACTCTGTCTTGCGCGCGCGTATTCCCGTTCATTCTCCGATCCGCTCTGTTCCTTGTCTCTGTCTCTCTTCCTTCCTCCCTCCCTCTCTCTCTCTCTCTCTCTCTCTCTCTCTGTCTCCCCCCTCCCCCTGCCCCCAGAGAACAACCCTCGAGAACATCCCGCGCGCGCACCACCTACGCAGCGAGCGTATCTCGATCTCGGGGGCGAACGGAGTGCATGTGCTCGACGATGTTCTCGCTAAAGAAGGCTTGGGCCCAGTTCCACAACTGACGGTTAAACTCTTAACCGAGGTCCAACTTATTCATTGTCTCTTTCCAATTTTAGAATTGGAAAAAGATGTGACACAACTTGAACCTCTGCTAAGAGTTAACCATGAGTTGTTGAACTGAGCCTCATTTTCACACACACACAACTCACGGTTAACTCTTAACCGAGGTTCAACTTATTTCTCATCTCTTTTCGATTTTAGCATTGGAGGGAGATGAGGAATAAATTAAACCTTGGTTAATAGTCAAACATGAGTGAAATTGTGACCTAAGATAATATTCCGGCATGATGTACGTCGATAAGGTCCACTCTTGAGGTAATCAGTTTGAGTGGTGACCTATGATCGTTCAGGAAGCTCCACGTTACTCCCTCGAGGGCGAGAAACACTCTCTCAAGCGAACACGCGAACCCGGTGACTCCGGTTAATGCAATACTGTCTCCTTCCACCTCATTCTACCTTCCACACGAGGACGGTGAAACCGGTATAATTTTTCGGCGCACTGAAAGTGACCTCTATGTTTATCCGCGACAATGGAAATGCGACGATCACCTCGGGGTGCTTTTTCCTCCGTATTTTTACACGCGTCGATAATTGCATTCGACGAAATAATACCGGTTTTTTGAAGTCCCTGAGTAATTTTGCTTGTAGGACGGAGCAAGAGACTTGAATTCTGTTTCGTATTAACGTACGCAAATCCCGTATGAAATAATAGGTTTGTTCTTTTCAGCTGGACTTCTTGCACCTCATCTTTTCCCTTTTTCTCTTCACAGAGAAAAAAAAAGGGAATAGATGAAAAGATGTTAGGCTGGAAAGAACAGATCTAATACTAGGTTCTGATGGCTAAATTAATGTACACTTGTACTTAAAATTTTAATCTTGGTTTAACTAACTTTTCATCTTTTTCTAGCTCTAAGACTTAAAAGAAGATAAGGAGTAAGTTTTGAGCCGAGTTAAAAATTAGTCTATATTGAAACGGACATTCAGATCATTTCTGCCAACATAGATTAACTTTAATCTTGGGTTAATTTATCTTCTTTTATTTCTTACAACTAAAAGTAAATTAAATTGAGATTGAAGTTAATCTACATTGCTAGAAATGAATATTAGGAGCAGTCTCGTAATTTTCGTCTTGCATTTACAGAACGCTCTTTCTGCTTCCTCGGCTGATCGCGAAGTCGGGCGGAAGCGGTGGAGCAAGCTTTTTCGTGGGATTCAGTTTAAACGCGATTACTTTTACTGTAATGCATTCCTGATATCGAAGTCATACGCGAGTCGAAACACAGACAACCGCCGGTGAGTCAACGTTGGGCGATCATGCGTAAACAACTCGTAACGTTATATATCGGATGTCTACGAACGAAACTGACATTCTTCAATCTCTTTCGATATCGAGTTAGAAGAGCGGCATAGAACACAGAATGATTGAATTTCATGAACAATTAGAAATAGAAAAATGCAGAAAAATATGTTTTCAATTGCAACAAATGTAATTTCCTACACTGAGAAAAATGTTCTGGTTATCATAGAATAATTAAAATTCGAATTAAAAGCTAATTAGGCAATAGAATAACACAGAGAGTCGTATATTGAAAAAAAATGTTTCGATTAAACCAACAAAATGGTATTTTGATGAGATCAAACGGAGAATTTTTATATAATAATCAAAAATTCTTACTGAAATGCCATTATTATTGGGCTTTTCGTTAATTTTCTTGTAATTAGAATATTTCTCTCAGTGTACAAATCCACACATTATCTCGTTGCTCAATTAGTTTCTACGAGATTCTTAATTATTCTTAATTATTCTTTTATTAGTTTTTTATCGACATTTTTTTTCATTGAATTGAGAAACAAATTGACACATAGATTGAGATACAAAGACTTCAAGATATTTAGTTCGCCATTAATAAATGTAGTAATAAATAACAGTGTAACATAATTATGGAGCTCTCTCTCTTAATTTCCATTAAACATCGAATTTTCTAAAATGTCAATACAGATTATCATTCAATGTGAAATATTTAGACGTAGAATAACGTCCTGCACTTCTACTTGAATATCGAAAGAGGGATCGTAGAAGGTACAAGTATTGATTCTACAGTCCTCACATTTAAATTCGTTTTCCCTGTTTATCGATCGATCCCGGGAAATGCTGCTGGTCCATTCGTTCGTGAGATACCCAAGAAGCCGGAGCGAGAACCACCGTCTTTCGTCGTTGTCGTCCGGTTATCCTCGTGGCGCGTAAGACGAGCCGGATGGCTCTCGTCTCGTGGAGTACCACTCTTGCAACGATAAACAAAACCGTTTCATCGCGTATCGGCTTTCGACGTGTTTTGCCGGCGCCACAATCGAGAGGCTTCTCTCTTTTTCCTTCCGCAATGCGACTTTATCAGCATAAATTGTCGATCGCAATCGTTCATATTGAAACGATTACAATTGTCGATACACAAAAATATCACACAGGAAATGTTGAGAAACATAGCTAGTATTTTTACGTATTCATTTGTTTATTTACGAACTTTTTTGTTTGTTTAGAAACTTGATAAGAAAGAGAAGATACATTTATATTTCTTTTTTGACAACACAATGATATACCTATCTTAATATTTGTACTTGTTGTTATGTCTAGACTGAAAAAAGAATTGCTACATCTTAATACATATCTCATAATAAATATTTACTCAATAAAAAAAAAATGATAGTTAAATTAATGATTAAATTTTTGTGTCGAATAAATATATGTTTACACTTATTAAGTATTTACTTAGAACTTCAAAAAAAAAAACAATATTTATTAAAATTTAGTTTCTTTTTTTTACGCTTAAATAAATTTAAAAATAAGAAAAGCAGGTATCCGTTTAATTAGAACAGTGGATCGTTCCTTTCATTATATTGGATAGGCAGGGATAAATTCATTACCGCGTGAGAGAAGCTCGCTCAATGAATGAGGATGGTTTTTGCTGAACGAGTTCCAAATAAAGTTTTGCGGGGTCATTCAGCCTTTCGATCGGTCGCTCCGAGACACACGGTCGATTTACAGTTACACGCATTCATGCTCGCTTTGCACACATCACTCGAATCTTCACTGCAATTTCTACAATTTCTTTATAGGAGGTCAATCGTGTAATCTTTTCCCTACGGCGGAAACGTGAAAGTGAAAATTTTTTGTATGTGTGCATACATACATAAAAAAATTTCACTTTTCCGTTCTGAAGAAAAAGTTATTCGATCGATATACCCAGCTTTGGACTCTCTTTCATAAAACTGCGTACGGTAATTGCAACTGTCGCAGCTCTTATAATTAAAAGAATTTAAATCAAAACGGGCTTCTGAGACGCAATGATATTAATAAATGTCTATTATGCAAATAATATATATAAGTAATTGTATATTATCTCTTTTATACATGCATTAGATTATAAATCAATTAACATTAAAAGTACCGTTTTTACTTGCTGAAAAAGATCAAATAAATGAATTATTACGAAAATAGAGAATGAAAACCAAATATATTTTATCAGTAGGAAGAACATAATTGTTGAGCAAGGCAAAAAATTTCAAAATACTACTTTTTACGCAAGAAATATAACTAATCTGGAAAAAAAGAAATTGAAACAATTTTACATCATACATCTCGAGAGACCGAGAACGCCTCGACGTCTCAGAGGCACGTTTTTGCTTAACGCGTTCGCACCATAGTCGTTACATGAACAATAATCGGATTGCAATAACCCTTTTCTTTTATACACGTACTTGTGCAATACGGATACGTGATACCGGCGTGCCGAGTACACAGTCGAAATGAGAAACGCGAGCGAACTCGTTAAGCATCTCTCGGTTTTCGGTTTAAGGGTTAAATCCCCTGTCGAGTTCCCGCGGCGATCTCCTGCGGGAGGAAAGCGAGCGAGAGAAAGAGAAGGCCGTTCTGCGTGGTGAAAAAGAGGATGTCGACGACGGAGAACCAGAACGGTACCGCGGGCGGCGCCCAGAGCAACGGCATCAAGCCTCTGTCGTCATCGTCATCTTCATCGTCCACGGCGTCGTCGGGCGTCTCGCCGTCGTCCGGCGGCCGGGTCGGTCTACCCAACAACAGCAACTCGTCCTTCCTCTACAGCAGCAGCACGATGCTGAGCCGGGAGAAGGCGCGGCAGGTGCCGCCGCCGACCCTGCCCAAGTACACGTCGAGCTTTAACGCCGGCTCGAATAACGGCGGTGGCACTGCTGAACGACTCACCAGGGAACGCGAGACCGGTGGTAGCTACAGGCTCGCCAGCCTGGACAGACTCGCCCTGAGGCAGAGGATACTGGATGGGGAAAAGGCGAACGGCGAGCCCATCTCGGTAAGCGAGACAACGGGATGATCGTTGCACAACATGGATCTCGAGCTAATGGCTATTTCGCGGCGTCATACATTTTTTTTTTTTTTTGACTTTTGGCAAAGCTCCCCTCCCCTCCCCTCCCCCCTCGATTGTCCTATATTGCGAATATCCACGTATTATTGCGCTGGACGAGTATATCGTCTTATGAAATAATACAGCGCATTTAACATGTTTTTAAATTTTATACTTGAAGGCTGATATTCGTACACGGAGAGAATTATTTCTTAAAATTTATACTTAATGAGAAATTTATTAATGAGATATTATATGATTATATATGATTTATTATTAAAATTTATTTAATGAGAGAAATTTAAAATTTACATAAAATTCTCTGAAATACAATATAATGTTGTTACCATTATTATCATATTTTTTCAGAATAAACTCTAAGAAAAAATTCTCTCCGTGTTGTCGGTTCTTATATTTAAAATAAGATCGTCTTAAGTACAGTCTTAAGATGTCGTGAACCAATCAAAGGGCTGTATTTGCGTCTTAAAACATTACTTAAGATAGTAAAATAAGAACGGATTATGAATACCGCCTATATTTAATCTATTTTTATTACAAGACCGTCTTAAGTAATGTTTTAAGACGCTAATGCGGTTCTCTGATTGGTTTATGACATCTCAAGATTGTACTTAAGTCTCGAATGTAAGAACTGATTATGAATATCGGTTTTAAAGAGGTTTTCATTCCAATTGTTTCCTTCACGATTTTCACCTTTTACGAAACTGAACTTTATTATACATAAAATTGAAACATGAGTTCCAAAATCAGATTTAGAAATTATTGATTAATCGTGACGTGTACTAGTCTGGCATTTGCATACATTGCTATACTTTATTCTAGCACATTGTGAGCTGGCATGTATAATATTTACCAGAAGAAGCATATTTAAAAAAAATATAGTATGTATATCAAAGAATATTTTGAAGTTAAAGCACGTACTTAAATATAAATGATGCGTATGTGAATTAATTATGAGAAAAAGACGCAAGTTTTACCACTCAAGCGTTAATCTTTAATTCATATATATATTAAGTTTATTAAAATATATATATTATGTACGGCTTTTTTTACATCTCGTCTCAGACGATGTCGGCAGATTCTTCGAAAGATGAAATACATTTTTACTGGGTACAAATCTAAAGGCACGAATGAAATTGTTTCTGTTAGAAGAGTTCGGAGTGTCTCTAGAAAGTTGCTCTCGGAAATTTAGATAAATATTCATTGAGAGTACACACAATGTAGTTTCTTGAAAACAAAGCTTGTATAAGTAGATACTTCAAGTTTATATGTTTATTCTCTAAAAACTCTCAGTATCAACTTTTGTAAAATTTCTCAAGAAAACTGGCGGGAATTTTCAAGGGAATATACCGGCGGATAATTTCAAGAAATTTTATGGAAATTTATACCGAACTGTTATAATTGAGTACAATTTTCTGTCACTGCGACGATTCTCGAATAAAGTAATAAACTCTAGAAAACTTGTTACTTTTGTATTACATCAAAGTTAGAAACACGGTAAATCTTACCGAATGATAATTTCTTAAAATACCGTACTAACATTAATTATGAACAATTGAAGATTTTTATTTTTCCAAATATTTATCGCATAGACATAGGTAGATTGACGAGATAATTTCACTTTGAGAATCACTGCCAAGCAATATATGGCGAAGGAGGCAAACCTCCCTTGCGATACTTTTCTGGCCGAGGGGTAGTTCAAGTTTGGGGATCTCACCCTCAATCGAAAAGCTGTAATTCGTGAGTCATACAAAGCAGAACCTGCGTGTGCGCTTCGTATTTAAATACGCGAAAGCGTATTTCTTCGCTTTTATTGCGTTTGTTCACGTCGTCGTTTATCGCGAAGATTATAAAAATGTCCAATACTTACGTTTACAGACAAGATTACAAATCGATATATATTGCCTTGAAACATTCAACAGAAATCTCGAAATTTATTCTTTGTAATCTAAGACTTAAACAAAAAAATATACAATTTCAATCAACCTGTATATGTAATAGAAATTGATTAAAGAATAGAAAGATGCAATAAATGATAGTTTCTCTTGATGTGTTAAAAATGTCAAAATACATATAATGTAAACAAGTGCACTACTTTCAAACGCGTGAGAATTACCAGAAAATTACACGAAAATGACTCGTTGTAAACGAAATAAGTAGGGAAAATAAGAATAATCGGGAAAAGGGGAAATATAATGAGGCATGAGAGCACGCATGACGATAAAAGTGTCGTTCAAGCGTCTCGACCCTGAAGAGGAGGGTCGACGAGCTCTTACATAGTCTAATCGTTCTGACACATTTTTACTAACGAAGGAACAGTGACATTCTACGGCGATAAGCTAGCAATCCGTGGCAAAAGAAAGAAAGAAAGAGAGAGAGAGAGATACGTGCATTTTATTTCGAACAATCATGCCATTCAAAAGCCTGCTAGAGATATCCGGAGAAGTTATAAATTTTTCCTCTCTATTGCAATACAATCCGACTTTGTTACCCGCGGTAAAATGATATTTTCTCGTTCAACATCATTTTACATTTTACGCCGATGTATATTTCATATTTCGTGCTGCGAGTTTTCGTTTTGCCCACGTACGAATTAATTGAATTATTGATACTAACAATTTAAATATTATTCGAAATTAAAAGAACTGAATTATATTAACGAAAATATTTTTTCTACTTGTTAAAAATAGATCTCTTTACATTAATATAATTCCTCACAATTTTATTTAGGCCAATCATAAATTTTTAATTAAAAAAAAAAAAATAAGTGAAGAGAAAACTCTGGAAATGTACGTTTCCAAATGATGTCTATTATTTACAAGCGCTTTTTTTTTTGTACGGTAATTCTTTCTCCGGGGTAACTAATTACCAGGCAACGCAATTAAAAGTTAATACGTCGCAATTAAGAGATAATTCAACTATATATATATATATACATTTATAAAACCTGCCCGGTAATTGTTTCGTTATAACCGAAACAATGCCGCGATAAAATAATTCCACGGATAAAAATAGAGATTTGAACGAAATTGCATTGGCGGCACGTAGGCGGCAAAATCGAATATAATAGAAGTTCGCTTCGTGCGCCACCCTTTTTGAAGGGACGCGTTAATTAAGGAGGAGTCCGTACTTTTACGTCCAGGTCGAGGACACGTGCGTGGCGTGCGTTGCGTTAACGATTGTCTTAAAGGCGAACGAGCGAGCGAGCGAAAATGCGTTATTGCGAGCTGTGTTGCGCAATCAGCATTATATCGTTCGCCGAAGCGGTATTGTCACAGTGCATTGTCCGACGACAATTCGCGAACTACTTTCAGTTCCGAATGCATTCCGCGCGGCTAACCCAATTCCGAGTAAAAAAATTTCGTAAAAGCGAACTCGTCTGAAATCCGGGCGGAATTTCTCATCTTTTCGCTAATTAGAGGATTCAACATGCTCCTGAGTCCGCGCCGTGTTTATTTCTCATTACTAAGCTTTAAATGACGAACGTTTTATCGTAAGCTTCTTTTTTATCAATTACGATTATTCGATTATTCCATATTTGTTTCTTCTTTTTTTTTTCTTCTTAATTTGTGGAGCATGTACAAAATGCATAGCATAGCTAAATGAAATTATCTGGATCAATAAACATCTAACGTAAAGTTTCTATATTGATTTACATAACGTGTAAACCGTTGGTTCGTGCTGGTTTTATGCTAGTTGTGCTACACTTGCGCATTTTGCGTATCAGTTTGCGTTCAGCAGACTCAACAGTTGAGTGAGCGCTCGCTGTTATTAATGTATTCCTTTAGATCTAAAATTCTGATTGGATGCTCTAAAAGAATGTATACCAGTAACAGCAAGCGCTCACTCAACTGTTGCGTTCGCTAAATGTAGCCCTATGCTTGTGTATTTTGTGTGTCATAATTAACAGATTATGACATACAAAAAAAAAAAGAATGTAAAGCAGCGAAGAGCTGCGTAGAATAAAATAGGAAATAGGGAACAAAGAATAAGAATTTCAGTCTGTCAGAAACCATGCATAGAATATACAGTTTCTGATAAATGGAAATTCTCATTCTTTATTTTCTGTTCCTTATCCCTTTGATTGCGCGCAGCCTCTGAGACAGTAAATGAATCGACCAATCACAGGCAGAGACGTAATGCAATAAGCAGTAGTAAATCATATGGTGTCCAGCGGTTCTTGAATATCCTTGGATTGGAATTTTATATGTTCTGGAAAATTCCTGCACTGAAAGAAAAGATTGGCTGCTGCAGCAAGTTAGATGGTAAAATATGGCATAGCATTTTTGATTGATAACAGCCAATTTTTGGTTGCAGCAGCCAATTTTTGATTGCGTTAGGCTATCCGCAATGTCAGTATAGGATTTCGATAGGCTAACGTAACCAAACATTGGCTTCTGCAACGAATTAAAAATGCTATACCATATTTAACCATTCCTTTCTATCAATGTGGAAAACCCCTAAAATTTTAGAGCTTGCCTGGAATTTATCATTCTTTCTAAAAAAAAAAAAAAAAAAAAATCAGAGCGTAAAAAAAGAAAAAAATAAGAAGAAAAATTGTGTTCGAGTATAAGTCCTCCTTTAAAGACGCAATAAGTTACCAATAGAAAATGAGAAACTTGAATTTAATGTCTAAAATAAAAAACATAGGTAGTAGACAAATTGTTTGTGTTGACGAAATGTTCGTTTGATATTATTTATAAAGCGATAAGTAATAATTGTTTCAAATTTGTTAGCGTTTTATAATTCATTCCTGGTGGTATGAATCCTAATTGAAATATAAAGCATATAATAATGTGCAAATCGATGAAAATCAATTAAATAATGAAAATTAATCGATGGGATAAACCCTGGGAAAATCAGGATTTTTACCTGGAAATGTCCTGGAATTATCCTTGAATTGACTAGCCAGATTTTTACTGGACCTCATG